AATGTTAATTAGCCGATGCCCATCATATATCTATATAATAAAATAGTTTATAATTCAAATTTAAAAAATAAACAAAATGAATTTTATTATTAGCGATTAAGATCTCTTTAAATTTTACTTTAAAATTAATCTAACGATTAATATTAATTTAATAAGAAAAATAGGCCTTAAGGGTGTGTTTAGAGTGACTTTTTAAAAGTACTTTTAAAAATTATTTTTTATAAATACTTAAAAAAAAAATACTGTTTGAAAATCGCCTCACCACTACCTCTATCTCTACCACTCCCACCCACCAACACACACCACCACCACCTCACTGTCGTCGTTGCCACCACCACGATCGTCATCGTCATCGCCACTGCCACCGCCACCACTTCAACCGTCGCCGCCCGCCACCACCACCACCATTGTCGCCGCCGTCACCACCATCGTCGCCGCTCTCGCCACCACAGTCATTGCCACCCATCACAACTATCATAGTCTCCTACCACCACCAATGCCGCCCACCACCTCTCACCTCCATTACAAACCGATGTTTAAATTCTTTTATCTTTTCTATATGTTTGTAATTTGATTTTAGATATGCATATAAATATATTTATTGTTTACCATTTATTATTACTTTGTGCCTTCAAGCACAGATAATAACTAGTTTCATATAAAAGTTGAAACTTAGGACATATGCAAGATATAAAACTCATTCAAAATAAGTAATACTCAATTTTATCCCGTTTTCAAAAGACTGAATTTCAAATACTGAAATTTGAAATAATGGAAAGAAAACATTTTTAGGACATTGTAAACAAATCATTTGACAAATTTGCATACATCTTTCATATTAGCGGCAAATTTTGTATTGTGTAGTACAAGAATCCAAACCTTATGAAAGTATACAGCTAGAATTGGAATTGGCCTCTAGAATGTATTTTGTTAGTTGAAGTAAAATAATGCAAGCATATATGAAATTATAACTTAGCCATAAAAATAAAATATCGTACTTAATGGAACAGATTCCCTTTTGTAACGGGGTTCGAAAGAGATAGTGATAAACCCCCTTAACTTATTCCGAAGAAGCCGAATGAATGATAACCTCTAAACTGCTCATAAAAGATTATATATTGGAATTGACTCTAAAGAAATTTAAAATCTTCCTCTTTTAACTTCCAGTTACCAGAACAAATAAAACATAATCTCAACGACACAACACACTTACATTTTAAAGTTTTCAGACCCATCACTGTGGTGAGTCTTGACTTCCTTTTTCCTCATTTTATGCAGTTGTAGTGGAAAGCATTGACAAGCCAAGGGGTGAGAGAAAATCAATCTCCCAGGTTTTGTGATTACTTTGAAAGTGGACTAACTATTACTTATCTAACAAACATACCTTAAATCTTGTATTACTTGTAAATTAATTATACAGGAGTGTACTTAAAGTCACATGGCTTCAAATAGTCCAACAATAATGATTTGTTTAATTAAACTCTAGATTGCCCAAAAGGAGTCTAATATTCCTGTTGTCTTTTTCAAGTAAAGCTAATTGATAATTGATTAGGTGAGTCATTTTGATATCTAAACCACCCATGATTAGTTTGTCACTGTCTTGTCTGTCGTCGGTTCACTACGACCCCCCATTACTCTTTAGAAATTCATTTGACATTGAGATAATCACAAAGTCTTCTATCTAAACTATACTAATAAATACATCTTTCTAAATTGACCAACCTTAACTTTGTTTTCAGATACCGTATCACTACAATAACAGAGCTCAAAAGTCTGATTTGTTAGAACCAAACTTGCACAAACACTGAAGCATCCAAGAAAACATATTGTTGTGCATGTTTTTTTTATTTATCATAAGTGATCTTTGGAAACCATCATTCTTTAATAAACCATAATGGCCTACAAAATGCTTTGCAGCAGCTTTTGTTTGTGTTTCAAGCTGCCAATGAATATGTACTTTTACCATGCCTACAGATCCAAAACAAAAGGATGATTTCAATAAAATAATTCAATCAACATGAAAATACATTGCAACAACTCCATGTCCATAATTTAGAGGGGATAATTCACAAGATTAACAGCATCGACACATTTTGACAGAGCTCCAGCAATAATTGTCACGAATTCACGCTCGTGTTCTGAAGGACTTAAAACAACTTCCGAACATGTTCAATTATATGAACAGTACAATTGATTCACTTTGGATTAAGCTCTTGATTAACGATAGTATACAAATATAGTTAATTCTTCAAACGTGAAACAAATAGAGTGGTACAATGGAATTGTGGACACAAAAATGAAATGATTGATTTTATTTTTTTCCATCCATTACTTGAATGAAAATATAGAAAAAAACTGTCTCAGAATCTGAGAAATTTGGAGCTATTCATTTATTTCAGTCCAAGAAAAACAACTGGCCTAAGCTTTGGCTGATTGAAAGACAGACTTGAGCTACCAATATGCCAAACACCAAAAAAATCAATGTCTGCCAATTGGGCAGGCGGGACATACAAAGAGGAGAAGATTGTGGAGGAACAAGAAACGAAAATGCATTGCAAGCAAAGAGGTATATATATCTAGTCTGATAGACAGAGAGAGACCGAATGGGACGGGTATCCTATAGAAAATCTGTTAGATTGTATATATGTACATAGTTTGCAGAAATTATGAGGCGATGCTGTCCTTTTCTATGATATAATCATGTTTCATTGCATAGATACTTTCGTCCACAGTTTCAATTGAAAGTCTCTCCCTTGGAGATTTTGCTTGCTCAAGTCTTTCCTGATCAGGTAATCTCTTTCACTGACAAATGGTAATAGAAGGATTGCTTGGTATATTTCTTTCTGTTCTTCTTTCTTCTACTCCTCTTCCTCATCCTCCTTCCATGAGTAATTTGGAGCATTGTGTCTGTTTGTGTGCGCCTATTTCTGTGTGGAGAGAGAGAGAGAGAGAGAAAACAACTTGACCATATATATATATATATATATATATATATATATCTGAAGTGCAAACAATCAGAGTTTTGTAACTTAGCTTACTGAAATCAGCAAAAAGGCAGGAAAAATAAAATGCTAGAAACAATGGTGTCTGTTTTGCAGATTTCTCTAGTCCATTCCTTTTGTGATTGTTTCTGTTCTATGACAGTTTGTTATCAAATCATTCACTTAACATAAGTTTCTGTTTTTCTTTGATCTGACTTCGAAAAATTAGTCACAAGCAAACGGCCTATCGAAATTGACATATATTTTGAGACATTGATGGAATTGTTTTAAGAAAGTTTCATAGTATTTACTAAGTTGCATTCAGAATTATGTAAAGGTCCCCCCCCCCCAAAAAAAAAAAAAACCACCTTTTTCAACAAGTACCCACTAAAAATTATTCAAAGGGTTTACCCCTATTATATATATATATATATATATATATATATATATAGGTGTTCAAGTTTGTCAACCTTTTTTGGTGAGTCCTATAATCTATAAATCTTTGTCTCAGGCTAGATTCTATCATCTGTCATTCTTCTTAATTCAATCTATGCTGCAAAACAAAGGCAACCATATATTAAATTAATACACAAAGACTTGTCTTTTGCTAAATCATAGGCCTCCCCCCCCCCCAAATTTCCTTGTAGATAATTTAGATCTAATCTTGACTCCCCCCCCCCCCCCCCAAAAAAAAAAAAAATATATAATTTTTTTTTGATATTTCATGCTTTTCTTGTTTGCTGCTTGTTGATATTTTTTGTTTAATCAATACCTTTGATTCGAAGGTAATTTTAGTTACATAATGTTAACTTGACAATAATGAGATTATTAAATTATAAGGGGTAATTTAAGTGATAATAGAGACAAATTGTAAACTCAGATAACCTAAATTTAAATATTGACAATTCCTTAAGGTTATAAAGGGATTAGTTGAGGCGTGCGTAAGTTAGTCTAGAGACACCTAACTATTGAACAAAAAAAAAATAATGAAATTACAATAACCCATGTTTTAGAGAGATTCTTTGTGACATAAAAAAAAAAAAAACTCAAAAAATTAATGTGGGTAAGAATGATTTTTGTTTGTTTTTTTTTTTAACGGCGATCTTTGTTTTGAAAACTTGCCCAACGTTGTTGGTATTGGCATTTGTAACCCTTTATCGTGTTTTTTTTTTTACCCTTTATAATGGGCATAGAAATTCACAGTTTTTTGACGGGTAATAAATGACCCGGACTGTGACCCGAGAAAAGGTACACGTAGGGCCGGGTGAAGTTGGGACACCCCCATCAATCCCTATTAGTTTCACCAAGGACAAAGTCACAGGGCCATATAGTATTAAAAATTTAAAATACAAAACACTGTTATAAAAAAAATTTTAAAAATAAAATATAAACAGAAGACCCTTTTTTTAGTTCAACGATATTTGGACCAATTTATATACATTTTAATTAATTTCTTCCCTAAATTGATTAAAAATAGACTATTCAAATCGAAACAAAAATATTCATGATTAATAAATTGGAATTAAGGTATTTTTTATGTATAAACAAGACCTTCAAATTATAGTATTAAAGAGTAATTAAGCCTTAAGTATTGTGATTTGCTTAGCGTAACGTCTCTCCAACTTCACAAACCCCCAAAACCCACACAAACCCAACCTCCAGGTGGACCAACACTATATGCTATTCATCCCAAATCTCACCCTTCAACAACCCTCTGTCTCTCTCTCTCTCTCTCAGGCCTCTCCATTCTGGCCGGAAAGAAATCATCACTTCTTTGTGATTCTCTGCCTAACTATCATTATCTATACATGTAATTTTTTTATGAAAATGTGGCTTCCTTCAGGAACACCCGTTATGGGTATTTGAGTTATTCTGGAATTTCTTGATCTTTTTGCAGGTTTTGTGCAATGAGAAGCCTAATGGGTTTTCTGGGTAACTCTATTTTGTTGTGATGCACAATGTGAGAGGTGAGTAAGTCTTCAATCTTGCGTGCGTGTGTGTGTGTGTGTGTGTGTGATGATGGTCGCTGCTACAACCACAAACCCAACACAAAATCCACGAAATCCCAAAACCTCCTCGCATGACGAGTCCCAAAACAACCCAAGAAGACCCCCATTGTTACCCTCTGAGAAAGACAACAATGGAATTAACCCCAAAAGACCCAAATCAAGACAAGTCTCTTCAAGATACATGTCCCCTTCGCCTTCTACTTCGAGTTCCTCAGTCTCTTCATCGTCTACCACTTCCAGAAGATTCCCATCTCCTCTAGTTTCAAGAAATTCGACGCCGGCGTCTAATACACCGGCTTTGGGGCCTAAACGGTCTGTATCCGTGGACCGGAGGCGTCCCGTGGCCTCTAGACCACTTACACCAGATCTTCATTCGAAACCCGGTAATGATGGTGAAATGTCAGCTGCTACAAAGCTGCTGGTCACTTCTACTAGGAGTTTGTCGGTTTCGTTTCAAGGAGAGGCGTTTTCTCTTCCAATTAGTAAGACTAAGGCGGCTCCACCTTCACCAAATTTGAGTAGTGTGAGGAAGGGTACGCCAGAGAGGAGTAGGAGGGGTAGTACCCCATTGAGAGGGAAGGTTGAGAAAGAAGGAGATCAGGTGGAGAATTCGAAGCCAACTGATCAGCATCTTTGGCCGGGTAGGACCCGGCAATCTAATCCATTATCTAGAAGTTTAGATTGTTCTGGTCAGAGGAGTAAGCTCATTGGATCTGGGGATGTTGTCCGGGTGTTGCAGCGATCTATGATTGATGAGAGTAGGAGGGTGTCCTTTGATGGTAGATTGAGTCTTGATTTGGGCAATGCTGACTTGTTCAAGGCAATTCAACAAGCCCGGGATGGGAATTCTGTTCTTGAGTCATCAGTGCAGTCTGATGTCACTGCATCAGATACAGAGAGTGTTTCTTCTGGTAGTACTTCGGGAGTGCAAGAAAGTGGTGGAGTTTCTCGTGAGCGAAGTGGGCCTCGTGGAATCATTGTTTCAGCTAGGTTTTGGCAGGAAACAAATAGTCGGTTGAGGAGGTTGCAGGATCCAGGTTCACCGTTATCCACAAGTCCAGGGTCAAAAATAGTGGTTCCTCCAAAGCTAAAAAAGTTCCCAACTGATAGCCTACTAGCATCGCCTCGAACAATGTCATCACCTATTCGGGGAGGTGTTAGGCCTGCATCACCAAGCAAGCTTATGTCATCCTCTCCATCGAGGGGAATGCTTAGTCCATCTCGGGTCAGAACTACAGTTGCTAGCACCATTAGTAGTAACATTAGTGAGACACCTTCAGTTCTTAGTTTTGCTGTGGATGTTCGGAGGGGGAAGGTTGGGGAGAATCGTATTGTTGATGCACATCTGTTGAGGCTTTTGTATAATCGACATTTGCAATGGCGCTTTGTAAATGCTAGGACAGAAGCAACTTTGTTGGTGCAGAAACACAGTGCGGAGGTAAAATATTTGAATTGTTTCCCACTCGGTTTAAGTTTCTCATTCTTGAATTATTCTACGGTCATGTGGATGTGACTTTTGCTTGATTATAGTTAGTAGCATGAGACAAATTTATTGTCGCATTGAAAGTTATGGAAACATAAGAGAAAATTTTAGGAATAGTTAGTTTTGCATTTTCCACGGAACTTGTCATCTCATATTCTTCTACACCCATTAAATTGTCATTTGCCAATGCCCTTTGAGTCTTCTACGGTCAAATGTGAGAGGTAGATATGTCCAGGAAGTTGTTTGGTGTTTTTTTTTTGTGTTTGGGGGGGGGGGGGACTTATGGTAGTTTGGGATATTTAAAACTGACATCATTTGTTTTGGTTTTTTTTGGGGGGTCACCATCCAAGATCCACCAGTCTCTAATATTGATTCTTAAGCACCCCAGACCCTTACAAAAGTGTATTATAAACGGTGAAGATGAGAATACTGCTTTTTGTATAACTACATTGAGACCAAGACGTTCAAGCAAACTAGCATACTTAACATTTTCAATGTGAACAATTAAACTATTCATTTGAAGCCTGTAAAAGGCCCACATACTGCTATGTGGATGAAATGATTACCAGCATTGGTATGATACAACTTCTTGTGGCTTCCCCAACTTCTTTCCCAAATTAGATATGCATAGGCTCTTCTAAGTATAGACTTGTGAATATGTTTGAATTTGCTTAGTTTGACAGGAGCTGTGTCTGGTCAGACTATTTATTCTTAAGCCAAGCCAACCTTGAATCCAGTACTTGGCTGGCTCGGCTAAGCTCTTTCACACCTCATAGTCAAATCCTGAATTTCTTCTGTTACTACTCTGTTGACAAACTTCCTGAACAACATGTTTCCAACTTTGCATATATGTGGCGATACTTGCATATTTGACTAGGTTAGGACATTGTTTTCAACTCTGTAACTTGCTTATACTTCCCAGACAAATTTGGTCATATGGGATAGCTTTCCTCTGTTTATTTTGTCTTTTCAATAGGCTATGGAATATTTTTTTGCATGCCATGTTTATAGTTATTTGTTACCAAACTGGTCAGCATAAAAGTGCTATTTACCTTAGCGATTTATGAGCAATAGTATTGTCTTTTTTTTACCAGAAATATCTGTGGAATGCATGGATAACAATCTCAGATCTACGTGATATGGTCACCAAAAAAAGACACAGGTTACAATTGCTGAGGCAAAAGTTGAAGCTGGCTTCTATACTCAAGAGACAAGTAAGATTTATTCATGACTTCGTCTTATGATAATCATACTAGAATTTAGGGTGCAAAATCTTAGTTTGCCTTGGGATTGTGTCTAATCTCCATGCATGTGCACCGTAAGTTTGAATGTCTATTTATCAATTGTAAAGTCAATTACAATTAGTTAAATTAGTGAATTTGATATAAGGGTTTATGAAGAAGAAGAAGAGTTTAGAGAGTGGAGAGAAAGAATTAAAATAATCTTGTGTGTAGGCTACGTTGACTTACACTCTCTTATATTATGTGAGAATTACAATACTACCCTTCATTACTAAAAATGTAAGAACTCTAACATTCCCTCTTAAGTTGGAGCATACAAATCAAAGATGTCCAACTTGGAATAAAAATTATTAAATTACTAAGGACAGGTCGGGCAAATTGTTTGGTAAGGGTGTCACCCACTTGATCACTAGACTTGATGTATGATGTGATAATCTTTTTACACATCAAGAGATCTCGAATAAAATGACAATCCACTTCGATGTGTTTTGCCCTCTCATGAAATACTGGAGTACTGTCAATGGAAGTAGTTGTTTGGTTGTTACAACGCATCTTCATAGGGTAGGGCACATTGATACTCATATTATGAAAGAGAGAATGAACCACAACATCTCATACGCCATATGGTATTTAGCCTTTGCACTCAACCGAGCAACTATATTCAGTTTCTTGCTATGCAAATTAACAAGAATACCACCAAGAAACATACCGTAACCTAAGTTAGATCGTCTGTCAACACGACTACTTGCCCAATCAACATTAGAGAAGCCAATAACAATTATAGATAATGAAAGACAAAATAATAATTATTTTTCTGGTGCTTCTTTCAGATACCGAAGAATATGACTGACAGTCTCTTAATGAGGCTTACGAGGAGCGTGCATAAATTGACTAACCACACGAATAGTACAAGTAATATTAGGGCTTATAACTATAAGATAAATCAACTTACCTATATCATCAAAAGCTTCACCACTCTTAGCATCTAACTTAGTTGTAGAGTTCGTAGGAGTATTAGTTGGACGTGCGCCAAGATTCTTAGTTTCAAATAATAATCTAGTATATTCTTTCAGTGTTGTGAAAAGCGAGCCTAGGCAAAAAGTGAAGCAAAGTGAGCCTTGGTCGCCTTGAACATCCAAGGCGAAATGAGGTTAAGTAAAGCGAGGAAAAAGCAAACTTAGACGAGAAAAAAAAACGAGCTTAGGCGACGAAGCGAAGTAGCGAGCCAGGCGAGAAAAACGAACACCTAACTGAAGTTTTTTTATTTTCTCCTCCTCCTCCCCTCTCCTCCTCATTCTTTTTTAACATTAACCAAACCCTAACAGAGATGATGTTATATGTGTATATGTATAAAATAAATTGATTGATTTATGTAACAATATCATATGACAATCTGTCTTATTATGATTAGATAATGTTGAATGCTTTGTTTTGATGTGAATGCTCTTATTAATCAATTTACTTGGTTAATCAAATTGAGTAATTAATTTGTTACATGCTCTATTTGATTAATCAATTTGTGAGTACTTTATTTAGTGGTGATATTAATCAATCACGGTGGAAGTTGAACCCACATTTGCTAACTTTACATTTAGATGATGTGATTACGTCAATTGATTATTTTTAGAATACAATAATGTTCAATATTTAATATCTTGTCTATTTAAAATATGTTGATGTTTAGTATTTTGATTGCATTTAAATATTTTATATTTGTAAAGTTAAAACTTGAATATTTGGGAGTAATTAAAATATGAAACTAAAATATTTGCTTTATTTTTATATTGTTCGCTCTGCTTCAATGAAGCGCTCGCTTCGCTTCTCGCCTAGGCCCTCAGGAGACCGGTTTGCTTTGATTCGCTTTACGTCTTAAATAACATTGTATTCTTTTGTTAGCATAAACTAATACCTTCTTTCGATTGAGCAACTTTAATTTCAAGAAAATACCGAAGAATACCTAAATCTTTGATATGAAACTACTTTCTCAGGACCTTAAATTAGGCAATACCATCATAGTCATAATCGCTAATGATGATGTCATCAACATACACAATAAGAATAATAACACTTGTGAAAGAATGACTACAAACCATGATCTGAAGTAGAACACTAAAAACCATGATGTAGTATAACAGTACTAAACTTATCAAAATAAACATGTGGTGATTGTTTCAGGCCATAAAATACTTTCTTCAAACGATACACTAATTGTCCCTTAACAGATACAACATAACTTGGAGGTTGTATCATGTATGCCTCCTATTATAGGTCTCCATGTAAAAATGTATTTTTGATGTTGAGTTGATATAAAGTTCAATCACAAATCACTGCAATAGAAATAAAAATTTTAGTAGAGTTAAGACGGACAGACAATGAGAGAGAAAGCTTCACTATAATGCACACAATATAACCTTTGGTAACCAGATGGGTCTTCATACGCTCAACTGAACTATTTGGATGATACTTCATAGTGTAGACTTAACGACAATTGATAGGTTGTTTATTAGAAGGAAAACTAGTAAGGGGGCTTTCATTTTTTCATCCATAACCAGTTGTCAACAAGGAGATGCCAATGCCTATTTCAAATAACTAGAAATAAATATTGAACATAAATTCGATGTAGAACAACGAAAGGATGGTGAAAATTGATGCAAAGAAATAACATTAGAAATGAGATGCTTTGCACAATTATGAGTACCTTTTCCCAATGCAAAAGACAAATTAGAAGATGATGAACTTGCTGACGACATAGGGTGCCGAACCTTAATAGAATTAAGTGATGGCTGTGGAACTGGAACATATGGAACAACTTATCTTAGAGTGATGATAAATCTGCAAGGGAGGAGTATGACTCGATGAGGAAGAAGATACACAAGCTTGTACAATAATAGGCAACAAGATCTTCACCTAAAGAATAAATCTAGGGAAAGTGTATCGCCGAACACAGAAAAGAAGGAAGGTGACTCAAAAAGTAACATCAACACTGACATAGTACCGACAAGAAAAAGGTCGTAGCAGTGATAATCTTTCTGAGTACGAGAATTTTCCCAAAAGACACTTAACTGACTGAGACAAAAGTTTATCCCAACTGAAACCAAGAAAATAAACAAATACAATATAACCAACAACACGAGTAATGAAATCAAATGATAATGTATCAAGGATAAAACAACAAGGAGATTTGTTGTCCAAAATGATGGAGGACATACGATTAATAAGATAAACTAAAATAAGAACAACATCAGCTTAATATGATTTTGGCACATACATGTTAAACATTAAGGTACGGGCAACATCTAATAAATGGAGGTGACCTCCTCATCTGGACCTGGACATGTTTAAATATTTGAATGAAAGGAGGAGGAAAAGGAATTGTCCTGGGATATCAAGGCCCCTCCCTCTCCCCCACAAAAAAAAAAAAAAACAAAAAAAACCAAACTCTCCTTAATAATGTGAAAGCTTGATTCTTTTGGAGCCAACTTTGGAAATTTCGTTGGTAATATAGGTAGATGTGTCTTACCAACAAAAGTCCATTTTTTTTTCCCATGCTTGTTGTTAGATGAGTAAGTGAATTGATAAGAGAATAGTTGATTTTCAGTGAGTTAGCAAGTAGTTTGGATTTTGGAACTCCAACTATTTGGAATAACAGACTCATTGTGAGAATATATAGAATCTTGGTTCTATTAGATTGATGCATTCAGGAATCTGATTGGCCGCCTTGGTAAAAGAAGTGTTTGATTTAGCGATTTTCTCAGGTATGAGAGCATCCTTGCTCTCTCTCTCTCTCTCTCTCTCTCTCTCTGGCTAAAGGAGCACGGGCACTTTCAAGAAGCTAATGTGTTTGGACACGTTCCAGACAACCCGGACATTTGTCTGTGTCCATAGTCAAGAAATAAAAGATCTTAATTTCAGAAATGCGTCCACACTCCTTGCACAGTTTGTTCAACTTTTTTTAGGTCGTATCTATGACGTAAAAAAAAACATGTGGGCTGTGGCCGAAACTCCTTGGACATTTGCTAATATATGATTACCAAAATTTCAAAATTTGGCATATAACTATTGTATACCATGATAACAATGTATAATTGTTAATTCTAATCATGTGAAATTTCAGTTAAAATTCACTGAAAACTACAGAAGGCTTTTAAATGTTTGAATGAACAAGAGGCTTAGAAAGGATGTAGATGTATTGTAACGGCGTATTCTTGTTAGGACTTTTCTATGGTCTATAACTTTAAAAACTCATTGTACATTGTCAACTTTCTATGAAATGAAAGTCTTTGTTTCTTATCAACCAAAAAACTCATGTTGGAATGCTTAAACTAAAACATACTTATCATAAAACAATGACTGTTTTTACAATGTGAAAATTACAAATTTAGGTGAACTATGTAATTCAGTATATACACTTGTGTGGGTCGTGTCCTGGCAGTGTTCTTGTCTCTTTTTTGTTTTATTTTTTTTCTGTAAAAGATTTCTCGTATTGACGTGTCTGTGATGTGTCACGTTTGTATACTGTGCCCTTTAAAGTTCATAGCTTACTGGAGGTGACCTCCTCATCTGAACCTGTACATTCTTTTCTTCTGCTACAATTTTGGCTCACGTATGAAACCTCTGCCCTTGCAAAGTTTCCAAACACATATTGGGACTAATTTGCCTTGGGGAAACATGCAAAATATTCAATAAAGTTGCATTATCAAGTTTTTTTGACATTTTTCTATCCGTTTTCGTAATGGGTATTTGACATGATATTTTCTGAGTTAATCTTTTGTTTGGTTTGATTGACAAAGTTCTATATATTTAGTCTTTCTTATAAAGTAGACTTCTAATTTTCAGCAAGTTGTGGTTGGCACTTAACCATGTCTGAAGTCAGTTGTTTCTTGTTTAATCAGGTGAACTGTCTAGAAGATTGGGCTTCCTTGGACAAAGACCATTCTATGTCTTTGCTTGGAGCAATTGAAGCATTGAAGGCTAGCACTCTTCGTCTTCCGGTTGTCGGAGGAGCAATTGTATGTGCCTGGGGTATTTTTTGCATTCTGTTAACTTGCCAGCTCTATCCCAGTGTTCAACACATTACCATCATGAAGCTTGACAAAGTCAACATTGCTCTTAATTTTAACAGGGTGATATTCAAAGCTTGAAGGATGCTGTACGCTCAGCTGTTGATGTGATGCAAGCAATGGCTTCCTCGACATGTTCGACTTTGTCAAAGGTACTCTCATTTCCTAGTTTGAAATTTCATGCTTCTCCTTGAATGCGGTTATTGTTGTCTCAATAATGATGTTTGTCCATGTCATACAACAGCTGTTTTATCTAATTAGCATTATTGTATAGCATAGATTTGAAAAATCAAAATTTTGAGCTATTTATGATTTGGAGACTTCAAAACTTTTTATGTTTTGTGTTATGATTTAGAGACTTAGAGACTCCTTGAATGTGGATGAAGACATGTAAGGAAACAAGTGGAGTTTGTGTGATTCAGATAGCGTTAAAAAAAAAAGGTTCTTTGTTTTGACCGAGCATGTACAACACACAACCATTACATACGGGATTTTGGGTGATTCATTTAGCATTATGAAATCACATAAATTTTACATATTAAGTTTTATTAGTATAATTGAGTTTTTGTTGGCTACGACATGAGGTGATCACAATTCCTAAATTAATATGATTCTCTACAGATAAGTTTTTTATTCAAAAATATAGAATTTGTCGAGATATTAAAAAAACTGTCCACAGTGCAGGATGGAGGCAATGAACATCTTCACAGCACCCAAAACAGAAACAGAAACAAAAACAAAAAAAAAGGAGAAGAAACTACCACATATGAACATCTGCAGCCAAAGAAAAGTAAAGGACTTGCTCCACCTTGAAAGTCCAAAAAGCAAACCTTTAGGCAGGCATGTCACTCCCTTGTTAACACTTACACCTGTGGTAGCTTGGAACATATACAGACCACAATTTTTGCCAACTGATGTGACTAAAATATAAAATTCCTATTTGTGTAACGTCATGAAGCAAGGTTAGAACAGCTCGTTTGGGTTTTGAAACGATGGTGGAATTTGCATTGTGAGGAGGATACCAATAGCCAAGTCTAATGCTTTGTGTTTCTAGTCATGCATTTAGGTATTCTAGGTTACATATGGTATTTGGGGCAATTCATCATAGAACCCGAGGTTGAGAATAAAGTTTGTGAAACAAATGCACTGAGCCCTAGACCACTGTTAAATGGATGTGGACATGCATGTCGGCTGCATGTGTTTATTCAAATATGAGTCATCTAGTTCCTTGATCATCAAAACCCGGGGACGCAATCATATTATCTTGATCCATATTACTAGCATAAAGTGATGTTTCTATTTTGAAATGGTTATTTTTAGCTCTATGTGATCCATGTGATAACGGAACACACTTATAAGGCATCCTTAAACAATTCTGAAGTACCAAGACGAGTGAATAAAGGTGCCCAAGCATAGACATTTAATTCGCAGACTGTTTGGTATCCATTGAAATTTAAGTAGTGAATTAAATCAAACTGTTTGATAAATACACAGAGCTAACATCTGAAAATAAACTATTTTTTTAGTTTTACCCTTTTCATTCTTTATTTTGAAAATATTTATAAAATACACATTTACCTAATAAAAAATCATGATATATCACTATAAGAATTTATAACATAATTTAGTACTATACAAAGAAAGAATTGAATTAGAAAAAATTGAACAATAACACATTCAAAAAACATGCATAAAATATTTGAACAAATCTGATCCACAAAAAAAAAAAAATTAAACAAATAAATTGTTAACCAAACAAATAATATAATAATAACAAATTAAATAACAGAATAATCGAACCAAAATTAAAAAGATTGAACAAATTATAAATAAAATAATAAATATTTTTAGGTGCCCTAATTAATCATTGTGGGTGTATGTGTGTGATTCAGTTTGTGTGTGCAGTATGTGTGATTATTTGTGTGTGTGTGTGTGTGTGTGACTAGTAGAAGAGGATGAAGAAATGATTGTGAAACACTTTAGGGTAAAATTGTTATATTGAAAAAATTATAAAAGATGCTACTCTTGAGTGCTTTTAGCTTTCAGAATTAAATAAGAGATTTCTTGCATAATATTTTAGCTTATTTTTAAGGAGCACTTAACATATTAAGAAATTTTAATTTTAGTTATCAAACCTGCTTAATTAATAAGTGTCGAATACATTCATTTTAAGTACTGAATTTGATTTAACAAACACACCCTGAGATATCTATTTGTTACAGTTCTTAATGTATTGACAGTGGGTTTATAGCTGTGTCCTCCAGTATATTGGACACTTACATATTCTGCCCGTTGCAACTGATTCACATCTGCCACGAGTGCTCTTCACTTGCAGAAGTGTGTTGAGCATAGTCTTGTGTGACATGCACTGTATTGCATTAGAACACATGCAATTGCAAAATGATTGAAAGTGGGGGCATAACGAGCCAATGATATACTTGTTTCTCTATCAGTTGACAATTCAAATCTAAAGGGATGTGCTTCAGAGATTTTGAAGAATGAACAAGATTTTACTGAAGACTTTTTCACTGACATCATCTGATTTTCTAGATAATGTTTTAGTTTGATAAATGTGGACAATACTTACAAATGACTAGTGCGTGACGATATGTTATCATGGATGTAAATTCATCCTTAAAACTGCTATCCGGTAATTTGTCATTATTGCCAGAGATTTCTCATAAATCTTGGGCTGCCAAATTTGAGTTTCTTTTTCAGTTGTCATGCAACATAGATGGAAATTCGTGATCTAATTCTTCTCTGTCTGAGGAAAACAATTATTAATCTGTTATTTTTGCAGTCTTAGCTTTTGCTTCAATAGAAAGGATGGAGAAAACATATTTGAGAAAGATAATTAAACTTTCACCAGAGCCCACATTTTGGCTCATTAGTTAAAGAGAAGTCTGACCCGATTCAGGTTTTTTTTATCCAGGTGGAGGAAGTGAATTCTTTGGTGACCGAACTTGCTAAAGTCACTACAACAGAGCAGACTTTGCTTGAACAATGCAAAGATTTTCTGTCCATGTTAGCAGCCATGCAGGTAAATGCAGCCATCTGTTCTACTCTTCCAAACTTTTTGCCATTGAATTTACTGAAAATAATTTCCTTTTTTATACTATTTAACAGATTAAGAACTGTAGCTTGAGAACACATATATTACAAAATCATCGTGTCAACTGCCTGACAACAAGTGTGTAGAACTGACTTCATTCGACAATCTACTGTGAATGCTAACGTTACACAGATCTTCTCAACCTAACGGAGGTAGCACTGGGGGTTAATAAGAACTGATAAAATGGATGGTTTGGGCTTCTCATTTGGCATGTTGGAAACCATGAGGTCTTCCCTGAAATGTATTTTGTGCATCTTTGTATCCAAAGATCACAAGTGTTGGCCTTTTTCCTCTTCACTGATTGGCTGTATACACTTTTATTTTTTTCCTTTGTTCAAGGAAAAAGAAAACCTGATGTATATATGTAGTTCGAATTACTGGTGTCCAGCAGTTCCCGGAAAAATTCTTTTGTTTCACCATCTGAAGTTGCTGGTATTCTGATTGATTATCGTTGTAATTGATGGCATGCCTAGAGTGACCCAAGAATCTGAATCATGTGTTCTAATTTCGAATGATTAGGTGAAATGGAATTCTCCCGCCCCCACACCTGCCCCCGCCCCCGCCCCCGCCCCCGCGCGCACACACACGTGCGCATAGATCATTGGTGGATTTAGCTTTTGAAGTACTTCTGCATGTTGCATGGCTGAATCCAACCACGGGTGGCAGCATTGGTTCGGTTCGGTTTTCATGTTGTGATAAACCTCGTGTCTTTCTTTGTCAGATGACAAACTAATTCTACTTGCACAAAAGCCCGGACTAGGTTCGGTTTGGGCCAATGTTGTTTCTATGGGTAGGGCTTGGGCCAAATTTTAGCCCATTATCTGAAATGGCCCAAAATATTCTCTAAGAGGTATATCGTTTTCAATTAAATTAAATTTGATAGGTTTAAAAATTAGCCCGACAGGATATCACCATTTTACAGAGATAACAAATGACGTGATGGTAACATTCGCTTACGAAATTAATAAAACTTTGCACTCAGATATTTATTAAATTCCTAGGAGGATTGATTGAGAATAGCTAAAAACTAACAATAACCCGTACCCGAAGACATTTTTTAATACTAAAAATTAAACATTAATCGTGTTATATTTATATTTTAAATAGTAATTTATTTTTTTAGTTATATATAATTTAATGTATAGATTAGTTGGGTGATTTGACATTGGTGAGTGTATTTGTTGAATTGTCTGATATTGAAGGTCGTACAGATAAGATGATTTTTTTAATAAAAAAAAAATTGAGAGCTGAATTTTATATTATTAGATCAAAATAAATAAAAAATAAATTAATTTTAATAATCATTCTTTTTTATAAATTAAAAATTCAATTTTTTTTACTAAAATATTTTGTGGTTTACGCTATTCCAAAATATGAAAGCAATTTGAACAATAAAAGAATAACAGACAACAAACAGGTCACGTTCGACCTTCCGGAACAAGCGGGAAAGGAGGGAACAGCACAGGCCGCCACTAACATGCACTGTTGGTTGAGACCATACGCAGCGTTTCATTTTCGCCTGACAATTTTGTCACGTCCATCTACCACAACACCATCTCGGTATTCTTGCTATTGTGAGCCGCCTTATCGTACAGTGCCCCCCACTGGTCTTAAGAAAGTCAACAATCTCATGCGCCTAGTAACTCGCCCCCTGCTATGTTTGTTTTTGACTAATGGGTGGGTCCCATTCTCATTTTTTTTACCTCCAATTTTTTTATCAGTTAAAATAGAGACACTGGTAAAATTTTTATATTTAATTCTTTTTTTTAAAAGGGTTATAGGTGGTTATTTTAGAAAAAATAAAATATATTACAAATATTTTATAAATATAGAAAATGACATCTGTGTGGTAATAAGGACGAATTCTAAATTCAAACGTCATGAGTAAGGAGCGAGACATGAAAGATTTATCTCTCATAAATACCCTAGTACCGACATAAATGACTTGTCTTTAAACGAATTAAAAAAAGATTAATTGAAGTGTGCATAAGTTGATCGGGTCACTTCTGACCGTTAAATCAAAAAAAATAATAAAAAAAAAGAATAAGAAAAAATTAAAATAAATAAATATAAGTGATTATATTTGTACCGATTATTGTTTAAAACTTAAATACTAACCACCAGAATCCGAACACATATAAAACTTTCCCTTGATAAACAAGGGTGCTACCTGATCAATTCAAACAAGTGGATGGGTTGCAACTTGCAAATGACCAACTTTGTTTCAATATCAAAAGACCCTTTACCTAAGCGAAGGGCATGATGGAAAAGCAGAGAGGGTGAGAGGAGATGAGACGGAGGGAGGAGGTGGTGGAAGATGATGAATAAAAGTGGAGTGGGTCCGACTCTCCACAGCAAATGCATATGCAGCGACACACAGCAGTTGGAGGGCATAAAAAATGGACCCTACCACACCCCCAATTTAAAGAAGAAAATGGACGGACTCAATTGATCATTTGCTACTTTGGGGGATTCAAAGACCATCCAAAAACTATGAGCAATTGATGCTGATGGCTTTGTAATGTGCAATTTGATGAATGGATAACGCAATATGTTGGACCCACCACAGAGTATGTGGTCCCCACCTCCTCTCGATCATTCGCACACAAACAAATTGATAATTTATATTTTATACCCATAAAGTTTATACTTACATTTTTTTGATCCCTTTCCTAGCCAAAATTTATTTTCTTCGTCGAATTGCGTCCTACGTTACCACTTTACCGGTAAAGAAAAAGTTCTTGACTAATTCAGAAAATAAAATATATAAGCTTTTTTCGCTTTTTCGTCAAGCTAGAATTCTAGAGAAATCCCTTTCAATTTCCACTAATTCCCTTCTTATTGCATTATGTCCAAGGTTGACGATAGCAATAGAGCACTGTTTGTGACAACTGTTATTAAGAAAATACCCAAGGATCGAGTGACTGAACTTGATGGTCAAGTTGACCGTTTGGGTGAATAAGTGTAGACTATGATAGACAGGTAAGAGAATTAGAAATTATTAATCACCAACACTCGCTAATGAATACGGTGTCTTCCTAGTAAAGAAGAGCCGTTTTCATTGGCCTCAATGATTCTTGTAGTGATGTCCAAAAGGTGATGGATTGAAAATTTTAATCGACTCTTTTATTTATATCTATTAATTTGTTCCAACATAAAGAAATCACATGACTTGTCCGTAAGAGTACATTTGTCCAGGAAAAATTTCCTATTTTTTTTTTTTGAGTTGGTATCTTCTTTTTTTAAAAATTAGATGAACTAAATTAAGGTTTTGTAGCATATGTTGTTACAAAGGCCTTTCGTCACAATAAATTAATTAATTAGGATGCAATAATTAAATTAAAAATTCAATCAAAACTTCAAGGATTTGATTTTTGCAACAAATAAAAATTTTAAGGACTAAATAAAAATTAAATGCATACGTGAAGGGTAATCCCAAAAAAACAAAAAAAAAACAAATTTCAAGTATAGACCACAACAATAATTGGTAACAAAGTTTTGTTTATTTCAGGAACATCTTGTAAGTGTAGCCACAACATATATATATATATATATATATATATATATATATATATATATATATATATATATATATATATATATAAAATAGCATAGAAAGGGGTGCCATCTTTAAACCTGCCATTTCTCTCACAACAGCATAGAAACTATAAAATTTTAGTGATGAATAATAGCTTACATTTAACGGTAAGTATATGTTGCTAGTTCAAGAACTTAGAGCAAGCATAGACAAATCACGTGATTGTCACGTGACCATTCATATCATGTGTCGTCGTTTGTTCTATTGTTATAAGATCATTCACATCATGTGTCTTCGTTTGTTCTATTGTCATATGACCATTCACATGATGTATCGTCATTTGTCCTAAGATTGATAAGAAAGTGTCATTTTCATTTTTATTATAGGGAGTTTAAATTTGTGCCGATTACACTTTCAAGCTCAGTGATTGACCGACTATTTCCTCAAGTTCAACGGCTGGCCGACTATTCCCTCAAATTCAACGGTCGGCCTCATTTGCTTGAAATAAATGAGAACATGTCCCTAAAAAGTGTGAAAACAATTAAACTTGAGACTTTTAAATTATAAAAAGTTAGCCTAAGCTCAACCATTAAACCATCATAAAAGTTTATAAAATATTTATATAATAAAATAGCTTATAATTTAAATATCAAAAAATAAACAAAATAATTTTTGTTATTCGCGGTTGAAATCGCTTTAAATTTTATTTTAAAATTAATCTAACGATTAATATTAAAACTCTAAATTAAATAGAAAAAAATAAGACTTTAAGGATGTGTTTGAAATAATTTTTTAAAAGTGTTTATAATAATTATTTCTCATAAGTATTTTAAAAAAAAAATATTGTTTTGAACTGTTCCATCACTATTTCTACCATCACCACCACCGCCACCGCCAGAGCCATCGTCACTATCACCCCCACCTCCACCTGCACTGTCGTCACCACCATCGTCGTCGCTATCGCTGTTATCATCACCACCACCATCGTCACCACCCCCCTCCACCATTATCGTCAACACCACCACCACTATCACCATCGCCGTCATCACCACCACCATCACTACTGCCCATTATCTCTCATCTTCACTATAAATCAATGTTTTAAATTCTTTTATTTCTTCTTTATGTTTGTAATTTAATTTTAAATATGAATATAAATATATTTATTATTTATTATTTTTTATTACTATGTGCCTTCGGACTCAGACGATAACTTGTATTTAATATGAAAATTCACCTATAACCTAATAACTGCAATTATGATATCCCAAATTTTGTGTTTATCATTGCTCTAAATTTTGATGGAAGCAACTGGAAAAAGAGCAGGGATACTAGGAGAATTAATCTTTTATTCGAAGTCACCATGACATAGAAAAAGAGGAGACAATAAAAAAGTGAGAAGTGGTTCCACCACCCCGGAAACCACCAAAAACTCGCCGGTTTTCTCACCGGAAAATATCCAAAGTTCAAAAATTCCAAAAGAAAATTGTTAACAGTTTGAACTGTAGTTGATGCTCGTTCAGGTAGCCGGCAAAACTTGTGTCAGCC